TAGCCCAGCTTGCCATTGATATGGTATTCTCACCGTTGGTACTCAAAGATCCTGCATTTTGTCGAGGTGTGGACAATCACGTGCGATATTTTTTAAATCGTTTAATCGACCTGGGTACGGTTAAGCGAGGATATCTTGTTTTGGATGCCACTGCTCGGCTGGTTTCGATTTGGAAGTCTGATTTCCAGGCCGTTTCCTTAGCGGGAGAATTTTCCAAAGAATTAGTGGAACTTTTAGTTCTACGTGAATTACCAGACGACGTGTACCAGCAATCAATTGATGAGGGTCGCGAGTTTGACTTTTTCGCTGGGAATCACACAACCGGGGTTACGAAGCAGCAAAAACGAGAGGGTCAACCGTGTATCTTACTTCGCATCCTCCTCTTGGGATGCATATGCGATTTGTTTCGCATGAATAATACGTCAGAGGCAGGGCAGAAGGAGTTTCTTATGTCCTTAATGATTCGTTTGTTCGAAACAGCGGCGGCAGTGGATTTGCGTCGGGCCCAGATTCTATCTTCTCCTGATTATTCTCGCAAGCTCAGAGCATGGCAAGCCATTTGCGTACTTATACCTTTCGTAGATAAGGAGCACGTCGAGGCGATTCAAGAATTGATTGTCACAGCCATGCGAACAGTTGCTGTTCCGTCCGTGCGTTTTTATCAGGAAATCGTTTTGTCGTATTTATGTCAAAAGTTTCCTGACGTGGCAATTCCTTTCCTCATGAGAAATCTGAGCGACTTAAATGTCCCGCCACTGACAAGCGCATCGCTCGTTCTCTCCGCGGGCCTGGCATGTCTGACGACCAATCCGGTGTTCGTGGGCGGGAAATTACCACAAGAATATGTTGGACCCCTTCTACAAGTCATTCTTCCTTGGCTTTCGGGACAACACGCAAATACACGCATTGTGGCCCAACTACTTTCCTTTTATCTTTTGTCGCGTCTATTAGGCGGAGACATGGACATAAATACCGAAGCGCTTGCGAATATTGGTGGCAATCTACCCCCGGGAGAAAAGATAAACTACATGTACCTAAGTGGGACTCTGCGTTTTCTACGGGACCATCGGGAAATGGCAGGGCTGCGGCAAAAGACAATGCTTCATTTCCGAAAATTATCCGTAGCTGAAACTTGCACTTTGAGGTATTTGCTCGAACAACAGAGAATAATGGAGGGAGACAGTGTGTCAGACTTGGTTCCGGTCCATATTGAAACGGCCCTGCGCGACGCCATGACTTTGTTATACCGGGAGCTCGAGGCTAAACATTTCATGACGTACACGTCTATGGCACCACTCACCAAAGGTGAGAATTTGTTTGACATCGATCAAAATTCAATCACTTTTGAAAGAGTCGTATCCGCAGACACTGGCGGAGCAGTATCTTCAAATTGCTCTTCATTTCAGAAGAAGATAAGTGTGTCAGACGTGTTCTCTGCCCTGCTTCCGTCCCAACCGTTGATCCAATCAACAAATGCTCGCGGTGTTCAATTGCAGGAATTTGTCATGTGTGCATCATTATTGGAACGCGTGCCCAATCTCGCGGGCCTGGCACGAACGTGCGAAATTTTTGCCGTATCCAAACTCGTCATTCCAGACATGCGTTTGCTGAGAGACCCTCAATTTGAAAAGATATCCTCTTCAGCGGGAAGATGGATAAAGATAGAAGAAGTGCACGAGGGCCGCACCCGTGCATATATTCAGCGCTGCAAACAAGAAGGGTACACAATTGTCGGATTAGAGCAGACTGATGACAGCTTTTGTCTTTCTGGCGTTGTCTTACCCCGCAAAATGGTCCTCCTCGTGGGTCGCGAGAAAGAAGGTATTCCGGTTCCTTTGCTCCAAGAGCTGGACCTGGTTGTTCAAATACCCCAACTAGGCCTGGTGCGAAGTTTAAATGTGCATGTATCGGCATCCCTGATTGTATGGGAGCATTATAAGCAACATCGTGGACAAGCCGATGCCAAAGAATGATACATTGTGCCATTAATTACTGAGCCATTCTGCCCCTTTCTTCACAGTTGCTGTCATTCTACGATTTCAGTTGCTCCAATGTGCTCAGGCTTTTAGCAAAGCGCCCATCGAACGCGCTTAACCATTGCAGTCGATAATGTTGGCTGCTGGTGGATGTGCGCCGGGTTTTTATTGATCCACAATGCTTTCCTTTTCTTGACTTCATGTCAGGTTGTTCGTGTTGGGCCTCAAGAGGTTTTTGAGAATGCTTTTGGATTGTGACATCGATTCCAGCTTGTGTACAAGCTTCAGCCACTCGAGATTTCGCAGATCGAACCTTCTCAATCGTTGCAGATACTTGCTTTGTGAAAAGACGGTCGCGCCTGTTTTTGAAGTTGTTCGTGCACATCAAGGAGCGAAAGACTTGTTAAGAGCAAAAATTAATTGGGCATCTCTCCCCCCCTCTAGTCGACATTCTTACACGGAGGATGGCAACTGAGGGAGTACTGGTTTAGGCACTGAACTTAAAAGAACAGATTCTTTGGAAAGGGTGCCAGGAAGTGTAGGCGTCGAATAAAGCTGGCTCCGAAACTCGTCCATGTCGTATTCTGCGTTTTTGCTGCTTATCAGATGTCTGGCTTCGACTGCTTCATCCGAACTAACAGAGAGTCGCTTCCTGCCTAATTCTTTCATATCAATCGTTTCCTCGGCAATATCTTCGCCACTCTCGGTCTCAAATAGCCGGAGGCCATTCGTCCCAATAATAGGCTTGACTTCATCTTCATTCTTGTCAAGGGCCCTCGATGAAGCACTACTGCTAGCAAGGTGTTGACATCGTTGCTTATCTTTCCAAAAGAAAAGAGAAGCCTCTCTCGCCAGATTTGTCACGCTATCTGATACATCCAATGAAGCGAGTAAATTAGCGTTCCCTTCGTCTTTTCCGTGCGTTCCTACAAATTTCGCCCTTTTATCACATATCTGGGATGCAGGTCGGAGCTCTTGCGACTCTTTCTTAGAATCTTTGTTTGAGTGCATGATTGAAATGTTCAACGCAAGATTACTTTCACTATCAACAGCAGGAGTACGGACGTACTTCCTTTCACTGAGTGCAGATGGGATTTGAGACGATTTGCCGATAGATTTGCTCATTGCCTTTTCCCGCTGTCGCTCAGCACGATATTTTAAGAAACGTAAATTCAAACGTTGCTTGCGCAATTTCTCAGCCACGCGGCAGATCCTTTCCTCTTTTAATTGAAGTTGAGACTCCCATTCAACAAGTTGCATACGCTGTGCTTGTCCTTGCCGTCGTAACCGGGCCCGTAGTGATCTCAATATAGCCTCGCGCTCGACCAGCTCCACTCGCGCGATAGAGTCTGTTGATGATAGTTTACCACGGGAATCATCATAGCCACACGTGTTAGGCCCAGGATTGGGGACAGATGTGCATGTTGTTTCTTGTGCTTCTTGTTGTGATTGTTGTTTTTGTTGTTGTGGTTGTGGTTGTGGTTGTTGTGGCTGTTTTTGTGGTGGTGGTGGTTGTTGTTGTTGTTGTGGTTGTTGTTGTACTTCACCTTGATCTACAACATTCTCGATTTTCCGCGCTATACGAAGCTGCGATTCGACTTTGAGTTTGGTTGACACCGCATGCTGAAATTTTCGGGATAGTCTTTCGTGAGCCTCCACACTATCTCGTAGCGCTGACTCTACACGCTCCTTATCCTGATTTATCATGACTGTTTGTTTCTCCGCAAGTCTTCGAGCCCTGTCGTGAGCATGAAAGAGGTTAAGGACTTAGATTTTTTTATGTGGACGACTTATGCCTGTGATGATTCCATCAGAATTGTCATTTCCTTTAATGATTGAAAAACGTTATTCTCCTTCAGTTTTTGAGAAACGTATACCTCAAAGCCTTTAAGGCGATTTTTCTCTGCTTCTTCGCATTAAGTTCAGCTAGCTCTGCCTTTTCTTTCAGAGCCTCCATCTCCCCACCTGATATGTGGGGGTCTTTTTGATAGCAAGGAGGCTTGCGTCTAGGCTCCTGCATATTTGTTAGCGTGGAGGATTGATCTTGCGGATTGGTAGTATGAGAAAGCGACAAAAAAGTCGACTTAAGGCGGCGATTACGAGTGACTATACGCATAGGAATGTCTTGGAGGCGAATGTTTTGTGTTAAAGTTCGCAATGACATTGCATATCTCGCCTGGACTCCCAATTTAGGTTTGTTTTCCATAGACCACATCCCTGTAAGTGTATATACACATTGGCAAAATTACCACATGCGTTTATCGGAGTACGATATGAATATAGACAAAAGAGGGAGCGTTTGCGGGTTTGATAAACGGCACCGTAGCCGTTAGCGGCCGTTTACTTCCCTGAAGCATTCCTGACTGTGGTCTCGGTAAAAAACATCCCCTAGCTTGAAAATCGACGATTATGTATAACATTTCGTTGTTGTTGGTTTTACAGGTCCAGCATGGAGGATGGCTTCAATCAATTTTTGTCTTCCTTCCTATCGATGCGAGCTTGGCATATTACAGTAAGCCTCCCATCACCATGCAGCCCGTATACCTGCGACATAGTGATACCCAGAACGTCATCCCTGCACATAGGCGACATTAAGGCAGCTTTATTTCATACCTTAGCATTGGCGCCCCAATGTACTGCTTCTGACAGCGGTCCCGTCGCAAAAATGGAGGGGGCCTGGTGTACTTTCTCTGTCGGCCAGCGTCCGAAATTCAACAAGGCTGCCCAACGCACTGACGTAGACACTTTGCTGGCATACGGCTCACAGTGCTATAGATTTATTATTAAATGGCCTGGGTGCGAAGCAGGTATGCACTTGCACGAAGATATTTGTGTGCCTTTTGGACGCCACCATTGGTACTTGGTTCCTCTTTCAGACAGTCTATCCTCGCGCTTCCTCATCCAGATGACGGGAAGAAGGTGAGATCAAATAGGTTAACGATATCTTACCCCAGGTATCATTTTTGCTGAAGGAAAAATCAGCAAGCTTTGATATCGTCCAATCTCCCCTCTTACTCCTAAAATAGGATTAAAACTGACGCTTTTGGGAAAGAGTATGTCGCATTCCAGATAGGTGTTAAAAATGGAAATTTAGCTTGGCAACTCAGTAAGAGATTTTCTGAATTTGCGAGCATGCATGGAAAATTTTGCAGGCACCTGGAGCAACGTTTGCAGAAATGGCCGGAGGAATCTAGGCATCTTCACGCTTACTTACCGGCACTTCCACCTAGGCTTTGGCATAAATCGGCAGAGAGTCTTGATGGCAGGCAAAAAGATCTGGAGGTTTATCTTCAACGTCTTCTTGACGTCCCTATAGCTACAGAAGATCCGCACGTGTTGGCCTTTTTGGGGATAGTCTCATCCCTGAGCGCGGAGCTTGCATCCCCAAGCGCAGAGTTCAATGCTCACTCCAATGCCATGAAGCAAAGAAAGATTATACATGTGTCTTCTCTGAATGGCGATCTTGAAATGGGTGACATTATACTCTTTCAGTGCGCGCACGCCCTCGCAGGCCTTCAGCGAGGTGTGACACGTGCGGAATGGGATCACGGTATGTACCTTCCGCTTTAAGCGCCCAGCCCGTGAATGTGAAAACCTACCTTGTTGCTTGCTGTGAAGGCATAATAATTGAACATGATTCCTCACATCCAAATCATCCCAATATAGTGGCTTTAGTCGTTAAACGCCAAGACGGTCGCGGGTGCGATCTTCTTGAAAGTACTTGTGACGGCGTTACCTGCGTCCCTCTTTCCGCTCGGATGGCTGCCTATGCTACAGAGTTTACGTCCTACATGGGGGTCCGCAAATTACAAGGGCAAAGGACAGCTGCAATGGAAAAAAAGTTGCAAGGATTTGTGGAACGGATCAATGGTCGGCCATATGGATTTCCGTTGACTACATTGTTCGCGAAGAAGTACATCACCAGCGACACAGACGTTGCTCCTGTTACTGCTTACGGCTTACCTTCTCCGAAGTCAAATACTTGGCATTCGAATCTCCGCTCTGTCCCTTTCTACCCTGACTTCTTGAACAATCGCCGGAGGCATTCAAAAGTCACGGCCTTGTCGGCTTCAAATTCCTCCCAAGCAGATTCAAGTAGCGGAATGGAGGTAGTTGAGAAGGCGAGTAGGAAATTTTCCCATGAGAGAGGTTTCTTTTGTAGCAATCTAGTGGCTGCTGCATTGCGAGAGATGTGCGTGCTAAAAGCAGACATTAATGATGACTACTTTTGGCCCGGTGCCTTCACTGAAGGTGGTGAGATAGACGATGCCTTTCGGGATGGGTACTGTCTCAGTGACGTGATGTTGGTGGACACCGCCACGCTTGAGCTGGGGCGAGCCACATTTGAAGCGGCAGAGATAGCGCTTTCGTCCTCAAAGTGACATAATTTGGTAGCAAATCCCATCAAGTACAGGCCTCCGCACGGACTGAGTAAAGAGCACCAGCTGTTTTTACTTTTTTTTTTTCTTTCATGAAACACGTTGAGAGCGAAGGCAAAATCGGGAGTCTACCCTCCCAGAATTAAATAACGAACACAGCCTCCCTATTGGTACTAACCGTGGGCAACTTGAAACATTATCAGACTGCATAAATTTTCTGTCCCCGAGGCCCGTCTTACCGTATCGAGGTTGCATAGAAAATGTGCTCGAGAGGGAGCAGGGGGCTTCCCATCCATGATGCATTTATCATCCGATCAGTGGTTCCCTGGTTCATCGTCGCCGGATATCTCTTAACATGTGATCGATCCCCATCGCCAAAACGCTGTAGTGACCTGCAAGCCCTTCACAGCGGACGACCTTCATTCTTATTTGGTGGCAATATTGGGCTTGAGGTCGGCTAAGATGCGCTTGGACACTGGTAGGATGATAAGGGCAACATTTGTATTGAGGGGAAATGCATTCAGTTCGAAACTAGACCACTTGAACATCTTTCTCCACCCGTCTCCCCTCTGTTCCCGAGCCAGAACGCACTTTCATAGGCGCCGAGATGAATGACTGTGAAGGGCAACAGCCACAGCACACGCGCGCTGGACCCTGACATGAAGCTGGAGATGCCTCCCTCCGTCTTATACATCTTTTGGACCACGTCGAAGAATCCCGTGTATTGGGTCTGAAGGGCGGATCGGGATAAAGTAGGGAAGAGGAATGGGCAGTTATACGCAAAAAGAAGAGGGTATGAAAATTAAGACACGGGACTTCGCGCCATTGTCGTGCCCCGCCTGATAGTAAGAGGTAAAAGGATACCATGCCGCGACGGAGCTCAAACCCTCTTTCTGGTATTCCTATCCCACTCAATCCCCCGACGCCTCCCTTCCCTCCGGCCTCACCCCAGTCATCAGTCGCGTCTTGACCAGATCGAGAGGATTGGTCAACAAGCCCACCAAGCCTCCTGTCACTGCTGCCGCCCCCAGCTCTTCGTAAGTCGTAAGCTCCTGAAATGACATTAGCAGTCAATCAGGATCCATGTGCGCAAACGGACAGAGGCCCGAGGCGAGGACATCTCATCTGTTGAACGCTTACCTCACGCTTACGATACTTTTTGATCAGGGTCTTAAAGTTTTCGTACAAGCCCAGCTCGAGCATGGTGTAGGGCACATCGCGAATCAGGGTAGCCCTGAAGGCAGTTAAAGGCAAGAATTAGGACCGATCATGGGCGAATGGAGGGAAGAGAGAAACAAGCATACAGGGATTCCCCTGACTCACTTGTAGCCCACGAAAAATCCGGGCAGCCCCTCGGTTTTCCACATCTGCTTGATGCCGTCCACCATGTTCGGGACCACGCCCGCCTGCCCAGCGAAACCGAGGAGGGTGGTATGGCGGCCGTGGGACGCCGTACAGAATCGACATGTCCATCCCACCCCATCCCTGCCTCGTGCTGTCCACAGCCACGCCAATCTCGGGCCTTTGCTTCCCTTCCCCTACCTGCAAACGTTGCTTGACGAGCTCTCCAGGCACCATCACCACGGAGCAGGATAGAAATGCTCCGGCGGCACAGACGAAATGGGAGTATGCATGCAAAGCGGAGGGCAAAACGGGTGCGACAAGCTTCTTTCCCCACTCGTAGGTGGCGAATTTGATCGCACCCGAGAGCCCGTCCATGGTGGCATAGGGAACCACGCCTAGTCATGGAGGGGAGAGAGAGGCGGTGACAGGTCAAGACGTGCGTCAAGGGCACAGCCAGGATCACACTTCGTACCTGCATAAAAACCTATAGGCCCCATCTCCTTTAAAATTTTGGAGCATGCCTTGAAGATGCTTAGACCCTTTTGTGTAAGAGTAAATAAAAAGCAGTCATACATTAGGAATGGGGTGGCTACAAGCAGCCATAGCACCACAACAACAAGCAGCCATCGCACCACAACATTTTAGCTTACCGCCGGAGCTGCTTGCTGCACGGTCTTAATGGTGTCAATGGGATGCATAGCCAGGTCTCCGATAGCCGTGGCAACACCGCCCTGTGCAAAACGAGGAGAAAATTGTCATCTTTCGATCCCTCATTTCCCCGCCTCCATACGCATCACCAGGCACGTACCGCGATCATCATGTCGATGGTGTTAAGTTTGTGGGTCACGTCTGCCTTGCGTGCAGAGGGCGCAGGTACGACCTTGAGGCTCTTGGCAGGCGCAGCCGGGAGGGCACGCACCTGGTTTTCCAGGGCGTAAAGCGCTAATACTATCAGGAGCAGGAGCGGCCGGTGCAGTCCCGTCATGGTCATCGTCCTCGCAAAGCTTGGGGGGAAAAAGAAAACTGCGGGAGAAAACCCGGTGTAAGCCTCAAGAAAAAGCTGTGGACTTCCCGCCGCGACTGTGTATTCGTCGGTCGTATTCAAAGTGATGTGCGGGCGTGAGAGAAAGGAGAAAAAAAGGCCTCGGGCACGATATTCGTGCGAGATGATAGGGAGCCGTCCATCCCACGGAGGCTCTAGCGTCTGCCCCTCCCACATACACCACCACCACCGAAGCACAGCAAATATGTGCCTGACATGCACCCCGACTCTATTTCCCTATTCTACAGGAATTATGGGCGGTGGAACGTTCTTGCGGTGTCACGTCCCGGCGGTCACACTTGCTTTCAGCCTCCTTTTGCAAATTGAAGCTTTTCCGCTGTCGACGGCACGGGCTGGCTCAGGTAAACACGACCACTTTGTCGCACTAGCCTTTATGCTATTGTTCAATATGATATAGTCAACGTTATACAACCGATTGTTTTTTGCTTCCTTTCTCCTTTCAGTCTTCAAAGGACCACGGCTTCGGCTAAAGCGCCTCCTCGTCTCTGGTGCACCTGTGGCTGCCCCCGTCACGGCCACGGCCGCCAGTGTCGCGCCTGATTTGGAATTTGGCAATAGCGGTATAGAAGGAGGGGATGTAGACGTGGAGTGGTTCGAAGCCCTGCAAGCTTATGGGAGAGATTCGAGGCCTTCCGACCCCCTCTTGAAGCTGCTGGCAGGCGTCTCATCGTGGATGCAATTCGAGACACGAGTGGAGAACGAGTGGGTGACTAATCGGGTGGAGTGTGAGGAGGATCGAGACCGACTGAAAATGAAGCTTGGAGATTTCATGGACGCCCTGCAGGAGTACGTGCACGCGCACACGCTTTTCACCCAGGTGCTGTCTCCCACGGCCAACGGCTGCGATGGCATGTTTTTGGAACGCGTGCGCTTCGAAGCCTTCGAGTCGGCGCAATCAACGATTCGTCGCAAGCAAGAAGGGTACCTGGCTGCGCACGTCCGGTTTTGGGCGGACCTGGCGGCGGTCTTGCGGTCGCAAGAAGACATTCCTCAGGGCGGCGTTGCTCAACTGGACCAGACAATAGCCTTGCCGGCACCGTACGGACAGGGGGACTCTGGTATTGTCTCCCTGCCTCCTCCCTCTCTCTTTCCGTGGGCCCTGGATGAGGTAGGGGGTGGGGTAGAGGATCAGGTGGGCGCCGTACTACTTTTGAAAGCCGCGGTGCTTCCGGCCCTGGAGACGGCCAAGAGGGAGAGGAGCAAGGAGTCATTCTCCAGGTACGCGAAGCTGTGGGGCAGGCTATGGCGGAAGGCGGGCACGTGGTTTGGGGCAGACCCCGAATCCTCCGCGTTCCTGGAGGAGCTGTACCGGAGTACGGGAGGCAGGGTAGCAATGAATGACGATTCGAGCCGCACCGGATTGTCGCTGGCGGGGGTGGGGCCCGTGGAAAGGAGGGGCATGGAGGACGCGTGGTTGCAGGAGTGAGGGGCAGGGAGGGAAGGTAGGGGGGGCATGGGGGGTGACATGCGTGGAAGATATTGTTTCGAGGCGTGTCCCACCACAAAGCAATTAACAAAGAAGGACGACGCCTTCTCCGTCATACAGTCATCGGCGGCCTGTCTCAGAACGGGCAAATTCAAACGGGTACGGGGCCGCATTATCGCGAGGGTGCCACGGCATGTGCGAGGCCTGGCTTTTTATTTCTTTGACCGCCTCTCGGGCATGGGGTCCGGTCCAGCTAGACGAGACTTCACATGCCTCCCTACTCCGACGCGCGCGCCATGCACCCCACAAACCTGTCTGTGTTAACCAGCCTCTGCGGGGGTTTTGGCATCGATGGACAGCGCGTGGATCTGCTGCATCTCTGCCGCCAGCACCGTGTACACCAGCTTGTGCCGCTGGACGAGGCTCAGGCCCTCGAAGCAGTCGGCGACGATCCGCAGGCTGAAATGGCTCTCTCCCCCGAGGCCTTTGGCGCCTGCGTGGCCCGCGTGCTGCGCTGAATCGTCCTGCATCTCCAGACGCTTCGGCTTCAGGAAATTGATCAGTTTCTTCATACAGCTGCTGTAGACAGGTCGGGCAATGTCCTCCTGGAATTCCACGGCCGGCTCCTCCTGCCCAGCGCCCTCGCCCTTCGACTCAGCCTCCACAGCCTTGCGCTTGAGCATGGCCAACATGTTCAGAAACCCGTTGTTGCGCCTGCACGCGAGAGGGGTGGGGAATAAATTGAGAAGCGACCGAGTCCAAGCTACGAGCAAGGCCGCCGGGAGAAAGACCGGGCCGTGGTCCTTGGGAGAGGCAAGACACACAGGTCCTCGCGCCCTTGTCGCTCTCTCCTTATCCCAATCAACAGTTCTTAATGTACTCATGTATTTCGACAGACATGCCGACAGCCAGCATCTCCACCTTACATCTAACTCACCCGGGCGTCAAGCTCGCTGCAATACCCGCATACTTGATAAATTCTGGTTTCACTGCTTGAATCTCTTCAGCACTGCAGCCAGACATCCCCTCAATCAGCAGAGCCACCAAGCCCTTTGTCAATTGTGCGTCCGAGTCTCCTTCGAAATAGACTTTTCCGTCTTGCATGAAGGCGTGCACGTACACCGTAGACAGGCATCCCGGGACCTTATTTTCGGACAGCTTCCGAAAATCCTTCATGGGCTTCATAGAAGAGGCCAACGCCAGCAAA